ACATTGGAAGTTCCTACAACATGGAGAAAGTCACAGGTGTCATTAGCCAAAAAAAAAAAAAAAGCATCATTTGGTTACCCACCATAGCCATTATTATATACCATATGATCATATATAATTTAGTCTTTTCTTTCATTTTACTTGCACAGACACTGTTTTTGTGTCATTTACTATTCTCACTCAAAATGATCATTGAGCATGCTTCCCCAGAATTAAGTTAAATAACTTTTCAATGCAATAAATTGCATAGTATTGATTTGCATGCTACTAAGTGAGCATAGTGTTCTGAGTAGCTAGACTTGGAGTCAAGATGATATGGGTTTGAATACTGCCTCAGATATTTACTCTTTGTGTGACCCTGGGAAAGTCATTTAATCTCTTTGTACCTCAGTTTCCTCATTTATAAAATGAGGGGATAGAACTCAACAACCTCTATGGACCCTTCTAGTTCCAAATCTATGCTCCTCTAAGTGACGCTATTTCCCGCCATATTCCTCTTCCCTAAAGCACTGATCAGTGTGTATGAGTAGGTACTCAGTGAATATTTTTTGGTCTTCAAGAAAATATGTTACATCTTCAAGCAACATCTGGATAACTCTTCACTGAGCATATTATGACATCAGGGGATTCTAGCTCAGATATGGGTTGGATGAGAAGATTCTTGGGGTCTTTGCCATCTCTGGAGTGCTGTGATCCTGCTTCCAGATGAATCAGTGACAATTTCTTCCTTTATACTTCACGAAAAAAAAGTAATTTCAAACATCAATTTGTTGACAAACTCTTAACAAACATTAATCAACCTTTCAAAGATTATCAGATGATAGTAAACCACAATGATGAAAATACACTGGACTTTGTGCTCAAGAGAACTCAGTTCTAACCCCTACCCCTAATTAATTGTAAATTTTGGGAAATCATTTAACTTCTCTGGGCCTCAGCTTTCTTATTGGCAAACTGGAGAGCATTAAATGATCTCCAGGTCTTTTCCAGCTTTAAAATTCTGATTTAATGACTCCTGGATAACATGCTTGACAAAATTTCAAAGAGGTGTGTGTATATTTGTATCTGTGTATGTACGTATGTATGTGTGTATGTGTATGTATGTATATATACATATATATGCATATACACACATACGTGTGTGAGGTTTTTTTTATTTATTTATCAGAGGTATGAAGATCAAGGGTAGCTGGGTGGCTCAGTGGATAGAGCACTGGGCCTGAAGTCAGGAAGACCTGAGTTCAAATCTGGCCCTAGACTACTACTAGCTGTGTGACCCTGGGCAAGTTACTTAATTCTGTTTGCCTTAGCTTCCTCATCTGTAAAATGACCTAGAGAAAGAAATGGCAAACCACTCCGGTATCTTTACCATGAAAACCATAAATGGGGTAATGGAGAATTGGACACAACTGAAATGACTGAACAACAAATGAGGATAAAATGAGATAACATGTATGAAGTGCTTTACAAGTCTTAACGCACTATATATGCTAGCTATCAGTATTATTCTATTTATTGCTATTATAATTATCTTATTTTATACTCACAACAACTCTGGGAGGCAAGTGTTATTATATAAAGATATACAGATACAGATACACACATATATATATATTTATATATAATGCATATGTATGTGTGTGTGTGTATTCCAGTCCACTATATATATAGTCCAACCCCTACTCCAGTGTTCTTTCCGCTACACTTGGAAAACAGGTTACGAGAAAAGATGAAAGAAACTTTTCCTTTAGCAGAGCAAAATACCAGGAAGTTGCTCCCATAGAGAGTTTTTGGTGTCTCTGTGTTCTTTGACCTCACCTTCCTCAGGGAAAGAATTGTATGTGGCCCCCTAGCATATGAGGAGCAGATAGCCATCCACGTTCAGCGTGGGATAATCCTTCTTCTGTCAAAAGACACACAAAGAAGTCTTCGTTTTTATGTAGCCTCTTAAGGTGTGTGAACAAAGGATCCAGATGAACGAAATACCAGTTCAGAAAATCGGTCAGGCATTACTCCTGTTTTAGAAAATATGTAAGTCTGGTTTCAATTTGTGTATACAACGTCAGTCCAGAGTATTGTGAAAAAGTTATAAAATTTGGGGATATAGAAGACGGAGTCAAATGGGCCAGCTACTGGTTCCCCTCTACATGATTTTCTATTTCCCACCTCCACGCCTTTGCATATATACGCTATCACCATGTCTGGAATGCACTCTCTCCTTACCTCCTTCAGTGTGAAGCTTAAGCCTTTGCCAACCTCCCTAATTATTAGTGATTTCTACATCTTGAAATTCCTTTATATGTACTTCATATTCATATATCTATACATATATCTGATCTTCTTCCGATAATAATGAGCTGACATTTATTTATTTAAAGATGTATGTATATGTACACACATGTACATATATATACATACACACACATAACAACTAGGTGGCACAGTTGATAAGAATGCTAGACTGGGAGTCAGGAAGACCTGAGTTCAAAGTCAGTCTCAGACAGCTATGTGACCCTAGGCAAGTTACTTAATTGCTGTCTGCCTCAGTTTCTTTATCTGTAAAATAGAGATAATAATAACAAGGGTATGAGCATCAAATGAGATAGCATATGTAAAGTGCTTTTCAAACCTTAAAGCACTATATAAATGCTAGGTATCTTTATTATTATTATTATTATTACAATTATTTTATACTCACAACAACTTGGGGAGGCAAGTGTTATTAATATAATCACCATTTTACAGACAAGAAAAATGAGGCAGATTAAGGTGATAGGACTTGACTAGGTTCCTGAGGCAGGATTTTTAGTCAGTTCTTCCTAACTCCAAGTCTAGAACTCCATCCACTATGGCACATAGCTTTCCTCTAGAATAAGGTGCTTGAGGGCAGAGATTATTTAATTTTTTGTCTTTGCACCAGCAGCACCCCGCATAGTGTTATGCCTATAGTAAGCACTTAAGGTTTGTTGAATTGAATCAAGCATGTAGAATTATGTCTATTGGTGCAGAACTCTACCTGGGAATAAAAAAATCAAGAATATCATCACATCACAATGTAAAGCCAACTCTCATGTTAAAATCTGCCAGGAGAAAATCCACAGGGTATCACTCTGCGCCACAAATTACAGTTCTTATATAGGTTCACAATTGTTCCTTAATGATCTATTGGACAACTTGCAATTTACTCATTTTTTTTTTAAAAATGAAGGAGAAAGTGTACAATATGCTGTATTGCACAATGAATGAAAGAATGATCTGACCTAATCCAAAAGGAATATGAATAAGAAGGCTTGTGATCGGCAAAGAGAAAGTTTTACACATCTAGAGAGGAAGACAAAGAGAAATAGAGTTCAAACTTCAGCTCTGTTACTTTTGTTGGCCAAGTTACTTAATTTTCTTGGACATCAATTTCCTTATCTGTAAAGTGGTATGTAAGCCTGACCCCAGGGCTTGAAATGCTCCCCTTCCTCACTGATTCAGCTCATATGTCACCTTCTACAGAAGGTCTGACCCCCCTGTCTGCTACATACAGTCTTCCCCTTGAAGATGACCCTCCATCTACTCTCTATATATCTTTTATCTACATAATTACTTACATGTTGCCTCCCCACCTAGACACTGAGGAAAGAGGCTCACCTCCATCTACTCTGTACGTACTTTATATGTACCTAATTGTTCAAATGTTGTCTTCCCAAGGAGACTTTAACCTTCTGGGCCTCTTTTGTTTTCCCCAGAGCTTAGCATAGTGCTTGGTATATAGTAAGTGCCTAATAAATGCTTATGGATTGATGGTTGGACCAGACAACAACTAAGATCTCTTCTAGTTCTAAATTTATTATCCTATTAACTAGCTCACCGGATTGTAGGGTTATTGGTTTATTTGTTTGTTTAATTTTGTCAATTCACAGTTTGGGAAAAAACTGACATTTGGATTCCATTTGGGGTTCAGAAAATTGGGGTGCGTTTTTCTAGTTTCTGTTTCGTAGTTCAGCTTGGGTTAAAATCTCTGGACTATTAGTTCATGTTTGCAAGTCAGCTATACTTGACTCATCTATGTGTAATGAAGGCACTCCGTTCTCTTGTAAATCCCATTTATTTCAACAAACTAAATGTGAAATAAAACAATAGAATTACAAATATAAAGAAATTTTAAATGACTTCTTTTTTAAAAAAAACATTAAATTTTCAATTATGTAAAGGCCATCTAGTTTTAAGAATGAGAACCAGGCATGAAAATGTGTGAACTAATTAATTGATAAAATTTTTAAAAGACAGTTTTATATCAATATCACTTTATTCTCTCTCTCCCTCTCCCTCTTCCTTTCCTTCTCTCTCTCCCTCTCCTTCTTTCTCTCTCTCTCTCTCTCTCTGTCTCTGTCTCTCTCTCTCTCTCTCTCTCTCTCTCTCTTTCTCTCCCTCTCCCCCCCATCCTCCCCTAAGGTTTCTGCAAATTACCATGGCTTGTTTTTGATTAGTTATATTATGTTATAAATAAGTCCAGATGTTTCTGTTATTCTGTAATTTGTTGAGTTTTAGCTTAAGTCTTTCTAGAGGTCTCCCCCATCCACTCCCAGTAATGATTGATTTCAGAGTTAGTGCTATATTGTGGGTTGGGGTTTTTTAATTGATTTTTAACCCAATAACTATTGCCCTCACAGATATAGCAAGTCTTGGGGTCAGATGCAACATTGTTTAATTTAACAAGGCTCATTTCAGTAAGGTAATAGCTAGAAAGTTTGGGGTTGTCACCAACAAAATATAAATAGACTCATTAAGCAAATTATTTAAATTGAGAAATGCAATAGCTACATTTCAGTAAACATGCTAAATCTACAATTTAATCCAATAATGTCCATGAATATATTATTGGATCATTCTTGTGGAAAATCCAGAGTCTACCTTTTAAAAAATTCATCTTGAAGAAAAAATGAAAGTAAAATCTGTTTTGTTTCAAATAATAAGTAACAGATATTTTCCGTTTTTATACCTCTGTTTTTCAGGGATCTGTCTTACAACCTGATAAAAGATTTACCTTGTTTCTCTGTTTGCCAAAAGCTTCAGAAAATGTAAGTGTACCCAAAAAAATGCTCTAAATCATCTCTAAACAAAAAAAATCATTTCACAATGTGTTCCCTCTCACACAGACATACACACACTCACATACTTTCACACATACACACACACACACACGCATCTGTTAATTCACTGGGAAGACATTTCCTACTTTCTCTCCTGGTTTACTAATAGTTAAGCTATAAAGATGACTGATTTTTAACAGATTTTTTGGCGGGGAGGAGGCAATCAGGGTTGAGTGACTTGCCCAGGATCACACAGCTAGTAAGGGTCTGAGGTTGGATTTGAACTCAGGTCCTCTTAACTACAGGAAGCCAGTGCTACAAACCTGTGGTTTCATTAATATAGGGAATTATCTGAATACAGAGATCCACTCTACCAAGGCAGGTAGGCACCTTCTTTGCAATTTATAGGCTTAGAGAGTTGCTAAGTACTAAAAGGTACTAAACCTCTCTAAGCCTCACCTAGGGTCACACAGTCAGTGTATGTCAGAGGTGAGAATTGAACCCAGGCCTCCTCTGTTCCAACGTTACTGCCATATTGCTTTATGTGATGTACTTTCCAACTATCATCTCTTTATATGCTGCTACATTACCTCCATTTTATTGTTGGTAAAATTAAGGTAAAAAGACTTGGACATTCAGCTGGTGTCAGGGGCAGTCTCTGAGGCCAGATCTCTCCTATTACTGAATCTAACACTTTTCCCGCTATGTCACTATGCCAACATCCAAATAAATCTCACCCTAAAAGAGCTGCCTGGTGCTGGGGGTAAGGGATAAGGATACACCGATTTCAATGATGTTACCATTGCTTGATTTTTTATTTTTAGAACTTCAAGAAAACTAGTCGTGACTTATGATCTTACCTGGTTTTTAGTACTCAAACCAATATTACCCAGCTTAGTCTTTACCTTATTTGATAGATTTGAATCCTTATTCAACAGATTCCATTTTCAAAAAATCAAGTCCATCCTCTAAAAATAGTTAACCTTAAGGATATATGAGTTGTGTGTTTATGTGTGTGCGTGTGCGCGCATGCACATGTGTGTATTTGTGTATATACACATATATTCTAAATTGAACTAGGCTCAAAGGAATCTCCACAGTGGTAGTTGCCAAAATATTTGCAGCCATGGTTACATCAGTGGAATAAGTGTATTCTCTGCCTAAGTAATTCTTTTGAAAGTAATGATACTATTGATACTGTGGAAGACACATTGAACCCAAGGTTGGGAGTTCTGAGTGCAAATCCCATGTCAGATTTAGATTAGATTGCTTGATCATGGGCAAGTCACTTGGGCTCACCTAGACTTGAGGTCAGAAGCTCTGAGTTCAAATCCCCTGTCAAATTTATATTAGATTGCATGACCATGGGCAAGTCATTTGGCCTCAGTTCCATTCTATGTAAAATGAAGATAATAGTCGCAATTCCTCCCTCATAGAGTTGTTAGAAAAGCCTTGTGAACCTTAAAGAACTACTTAAGTGTGAGTTGAAAGGGGGAATGGAGTAGTACCTTAGAGAGCTGGCTAAAATCAGGGAGACCCACTTCTGACACATACTGCATGTGTGACCTCGCATGAGCCAGGGGTGGAGAACCTATGGCCCTTTAGGTCCTCAAGTGCAGCCCTGTGACTGAGTACAAAACTTCAAAAGGCCACACTGGAGGACCTAGAGAGTCACATGTGGCCTCGAGGCTGCAGGTTCTCCACCCCTGAACCCTTCAGTGTCCTAAGCAACTCTCAAAGGCTGGAAGTGGCAAAGAAGGTTTTGACCTGCGTTGATAGAGGAAGTTCCACACAGAGAGCTCCCAGCTCTTTGTTCCTTTAAAAAAAAATCAGTTGCAATACCTTCTAGTCATGCTTCAGATATATTTCTTGGAATCAAAACTGTTTAAAAGTTCCCTGATGTTTGTAATCTTTAAAATGAATAAGACTCTCAACTGTCATTTCAGCATCCTGCGTCATAATGAAATCTATGAAATTAAGGCAGATACTTTCCGTCAACTGATTATGCTTCGTTCACTGTGAGTATGGCCAAGAGGCTCCCTTCCTCACCCATAATAGTTTCACCTTTTTTTTCAGCAACTTTCCCCAAAAAAAATTAATTAATTTTTTTCATATTACACTCATTTCTTTTTACATTAGACTCTTATTGTTGGACTCCCAAGCATATATTTGCCAAAGAAAAACAAAACATTTTTTTCCTGCTGATAATTTCCAGGAATAAATTTGAAGTTGCAAATTTGCAGTCACAATATCACCAGTCTAAAGAAGTTAAACATTAATAAGCAAGAAAAAAAGCCAAGCTATTCAGTCCTGGGCAGTATTTGTTTATTATGTAGTTGGTAATTGGTGGTGATTGGTCAGTATGAGCAACAGTAGGCAAGAAATGGGTTGCAAAGGTCCTTCCAGAATTTTCTGCCAACTTGTCTCTGCTCCCCACCTCCCGTGTCCTACTAGAGAATATTTCTGTAGCTCAGTCAAGTAATAACTGCCTTACTCTGGGTTGTTGTTGTTGTTTTGTTTTTTGCTAAAACCACAAAAGTCTTCATACACTTAAAAAGCTGCCTTTAATCATAATAGCTTACATTAATATAGTGTTTTGTAGATTAAAATAACCCTTTGAGGCAGATACCATGAGCATTGCTGTCTATATTTTATGGATGAGGAAAATGAGTCTCAAAGAATTTAAGAGATCAGTCCAAGATCGCGTGACTAGAAAATGACAGAGCCAGTATTAAAATCTAGGGGTTCTCCTTTCAAAGCCAGCATTCTTTCCACTATGCCATGCTGTCTGTTTTTAAACAGTTTCTAATATTATTTGCAACACAAGAAGCAAAATTCTTTTATGCTATTTTTGCAACCTTATGAATTCTTGCAACAATGATAATGCTTAAATACATGCAACAGCTCCTAAGAGAAGCTTGGGATCAAAATGAGGCATATTTTTTGGACATCACTAATATAGGAATTAGTTTGCTTAACTTTGAATATTTGTTTTATTCAGGTTTCATTTTCTTTTAATTGAGGAAGTAGCAGAGAGAAAAACATTTTTATTAATTTTTAAGTTTAATTTTAAACAAAGATGAAAAACAAAGGATAGGTATAAAATGATAAAAAAATGACTTTTTTTAACAAATATTATCAGAATGAGTTTTGTCATGTTCAAAGTGGGTCCCTCGAGATGCTAAATTGTTTTTCCAATGAGCTGCTATTGTTCAAAATATTTGGACTGAGATTTTTAGAATTACTTTCAAGGAGTTGCCTCTCTCCACTTCTTTGTAGAGCTAGTTAGTTTTGCTTAATTTTTTTTTTGCTCTATTTTATTCTTTGCTATTTAAGGGATGGCTTGGGGAAAGGGAGGAAGGATACATTGAGAAATACAGGTGATATAAAAACCAAAAATGTCAATAATTTTTTTTGAAGAACTGCCTTCATGAGCTACAAAACTATTCAGATCATTTGACTCAGTGATTTTCCTATTAGGACATAGAAGGAGTGGTGGGAAGGAAGAACTGTCCATACAAAATATACATAAATGTTACTATAACATATATGATAATATAATATGGCATTACTCATAATAGCAAAAAGTTGAAAGCAATCCAGGCGTACAACAGTTGTAAAATAAGTAAACAAATTGTTGCACATGTACATACTACCTATATATGTGTGCAAGTATATATAGATAGATGTGGATAGATAGATAGATAGATAGATAGATAGACAGACAGACAGACAGACCATGAATTCTGTCTTCCATATGAGACTGGGCAGGTGCAAGGCATTGCAAGCACTAAAGATTATCACCAAAAAAAAAGGGAAATACTATATTTTAACAGCCTAGAAAAAATGGGTTACTGATGTGGGAGTCATTTATGAACCAGATGTCTTTGCAGTTAAACTTTAATATGTTGAAAAAAAGAGCAAAGTCAATACCAAGAACCAGGAGAAAGAGAAGTGGGTTTGTCATGAAGTGAGAACATGGGCTAACAAAAGGTGGATAGCCTGAGGGTGACACTGGGACCCATGTTACATTAAGAGATCTAGAGGAAGACTCCCAGCATGTTGAGTGGGTTCCCTGTGGAGGATAGACGTAAGAAGGAGGCTTTTCCATTCCCTGTAGGCAAGATGAGAGGATAGAAATAAGAAGATGAGAAGGTGTGAATGTGCTGCAATCTACTCCACCTTTGAAGGGAATAGACACATCCCTGAGATCAGAGGGCCATTGCACGATCCTCTATTAAAGGATGCCTCATTGGGTCATGGAGGCACTCCCGGCTAGGTCAATGCAGCACAAGCCCTTGCGTATTCTAGTACAGTGGAAGGCCAGCAAGCCCTCACCCAGAGAAGGAGAGCGTGTACCTGGCTAAATCTGAATAGGCTCATGTCCACATTGGATGTAGAGTGATGAATTTTTCAGACACAAAACTCAGGAAAATCTTTCATGCATGATCTCTTAGGCAAAGAGACCAGGAAGCAATTCTAGAAAAGACCTTTTAGAGAGGGGTACAATGGTTGAGACCTGCATTGGGGATGAAATTCATTGAATACTGATGAAATCACAGGCAAATTGAAATACTGAAATATGAAGTGAATATAAAGAATACAAAGAAATATGGGATGACATTCAAGTGATACGGTGTTTTTAAAAAACAGAATTAAAATAACAGCAAGCACGCTAATCATGACAATATCGAAATAATCTCTTTCTGAAGGGAGCCCAGACTTGTGATTTCTGGGATATAGGGAATCCCCACTTGCCTAGAGGGCTAAGAGGTTAAATGACTTGCTCAGGGTTATATAGTACGAGTTAGAAGTAGGATTTGAACCTAGGTATTTCAGACTCCGATACAGCCTCTCTATCCATTATTAATTCTTTCTAGTGGTTCATATCTGCAATTTCAGTGGCGTAAGGAAATATTGGCATATTTCCCAATAAGAAAACTCTCTTGCCTAAGATGTGAAAAGGTGAAATGAAATGCTCACACAGTCAGTAACAGACCTTTGGCCTCCAGAATAAACTGTCAGATCCCCAGCCTGTCATTTATTTAATGCCTTCCACAATCTGGCTCCCACTTCTCTCTGTAGTCATTCCCTATTTGTCTCTTGTACAAACTCTCCATCCCAGTTGCACTGACCTGCTGACTTTTCCACTCCCCAGAGGTAACATCTCATTTCCCATCTCTTTACTTCAAACAGGCTCTCTCCCATGTTTGGTGTAACAACACATACTCTGGGCACAGGGAGACTGGAGCTCTCACCCTTTCCCTCTCCCCACTGAGGGGCCCCTAGCTCTGAACCCATACACATGAACTGGGTTCAGTTCTGGGGGGGAGGGGGAGAGCTGACCTCTAGAGAGAATGGAGCTCTCCTTTTTTCAAACTCTCCAAGTTTTGTTACTGTTGCTGCTGGTGTTTTTTAACATTCACCTGGGTCCCAGGAAGACCCACTTAAAGCTTATTTTTGGTTCAGGTCTTTTGTTGTTGTTCATCCTTCATTCTCAAAAAGGACCAATGATAGCAGGACAGTGATGTCTTGACTTGCAAGTGAATTGGATTTAAGTGAGGCAGGTTCAGGTCTAAAGTCTCACTAGAAGAGGAGAGCAGAAAGCTACTCCAAGTACAGTGTAGATCAAGTATATGGCGTGACTTCTTTATTTCCTCCACTCAAAAATGCTTAAACTACCACAGACTCACAAGCAGGAATTGATGAGAAAACTTAAAGTGGTAACATAACTACTGTTATACTCTCCTGGGGTTGGGGGGAGTTATATTTAAAGCACCAAACATGAAACATTTAGTGAGTCTGCTAGATTGGCCTTCCCCTTTCTCTTCAGCTCTATGTAACACCAGCAAGGTCCACGTCTTGGTATAAGCAAGGCCAGGGTTTTGGGGCTCCTCCTGTGGTCAGTAGCTATCCTCTCCAAGAAGGCTGCAGTTGCAGAATACTCCTGCTGCCAGTCTGCTCCAACTGAGGGACCCAGGATCTCCCAGTCCTTCCAATTTGTCCGTCTCAAGATGGCTGTCCATTCGACTTTGTTCACAGAAGGAACACAAAGCAGAAGAGATGGCCCAGGGTCCAAGACCCAGGCTCACACTAACCTAGGCAAAACATGTACTTGCTACCATGTGCTCAAAGTTTGTGATATCTCTCAAAGATGAGGAATGGTGTCCTTCCCATTCCTCATGAAGAGAGAGAGAGAGAGAGAGAGAGAGAGAGAGAGAGAAACTTGCCACAGGGATGGAGGAAGAGTGAAAGAAAGCAGAGTCATTCCTTTTATAAAGTATATTGAGTGAGTGGCTCATCCTGGTTTAGTGGCCCAACACTACTCAGATATGGAAAGATAGAGGGACATAGCAGAGAGACACACCAAGAGACCATCTGCAATTTTATCACTGAACCAGCACCTAAGGTCCACTGGAAAGAACCAAGACAAACATGTCACCAGTGTGCTTTAAGCAGAATCAATGGGTTTCTCTAATTAAGCCCATTACACTAGAATGCATTAACTTCTTGTCTCCACCTCTGAGAATTTCTAGGTTCTTTCAAAGCACAACTCAAGAGCTGTTACCTACATGAGGCCTTTCCTGATTCCTTCACTTATTAAAAGTCTCACTTTCATGAATTTACTTTGCATTTATTTATTTATTTATTTCATCTGTGTCTGTGTTGTATTGTGATAGAGAACATAAACTTCCTATTTCTTTTTTGTCAGTATCCCCAGTGCTCGGCATAATGCCCTGAATATTTGGGAAGGGGGGAAGGGACAAACCTGCAATTTCATTGATAAAGGTAATGCTCAGTAAGAAAATTCCCTCTCCCAGTGCAGATCTGCCCTGATTTGAAGCTTCTGGTATTAGAAAGTTGGTTAAGAAGTTAAATGATTTGCCCAGGTTACAACAAAGCCATGTAGGTCAGTGACTTCAAGCCACGTCTGTCTGATTCCAGAGCCTGGCTTGTCTACCCACTTGACACTACTTCTCACTTGCGCATAAATGTTTAACAAGATTAATAAATGTTTGTTGAATTGAGTTGAATTCTTTTAACTTTTGCTATCTTCTAGTCTCTAATTTACTGAGCTCTTACTCTTTACAGTAAAAAAAAAAAATCAAAAATTACATGAGCAAAAATCAATCAATAAACATTTATTAACCACCTGCTATGTGCCAAGCACTGTGCTTAGGCATAATTTCACACATTCACTCTTGATTATTTTTTAAGCGTAGATCATGAGAAGAGTTTACACAATTTTCCCATTCGCTTTTTTATAGGGACCTAGCTTGGAACAAAATTGTCACTATTCACTCCAATGCATTCTCCTCTTTGCCTTCTCTGATAAAGCTGTAAGTATTGTATTTCATTTTTCTTCTGTTGTATAGATTATGGTAATTTGGGGCCCTCTAGTCAGTAAAAATTCTGAGCTATAACTTGTATTTCATGTGTTTCAATAAACTGAGCTAGCCACAACATCTGTCCCTTCTTTCCACACTTTGCATTAACCATCCCTCTCTCTTAGTAGGGCCCTCAAAGGACACATCAGCCCTTTGAAAGGATACTTAAAAAATGCTGAGTGATAAGGATAGGCTTTCAAAACAATCTCAAAACTCAAAATTGGTGGAATAAAATGAAATTAACATTCTATTCTAAGTGCATTAATTCCATTCTGTGTTGTTGATCGAAAAAAAAAATTCTTACCTTCACTCTATTTTTCCTCACTTTTTTTTCTCCACAACCCCCCACCTACCCTTCTACCTTTCTTGTTTCTTTGCAAGTAGGGATCAGTTCATTCTTTTTATTTGTATAGCCAACACCTAACACGGTACCAGGCCTGTAGAAGGCACTTGACAAAGATTTATTAATTGACTTCTTTCCTGTCTCCTCTCCCTCCCTATCGTCTGATACAAGAGAAGGATTCATCAATCAGGAAGGCAGAGGAACAAAAGTAGAATCAGCAGAACCATCCTGTGTCCTCCTCCCCACCTCCGTCACCAATCACCATCACAGTCCTGGGCAGGACCAGTCTCTAACTGAAACATACAAATCCCCACCATCTTGTCTATACTTACAAAGCAAAAGAAAATGAATACAGAACTTGTTCCTTGGATGGAATGGAGACTGTTTTCTTTTGCAGTTGTAATTTTAAGTGGAAAGGTCACTGGGAACTAAAACCCAAATGGTTGTATTTACTGTTGTATACATTAAAGTATGTGGGTATAGTATATAAAGAGATTCCTCAAACAGTTTCCAATTAAACGGGGCCCTACTTGGAAGATTTTTATTGAGGAGTATAATAATCTTTAAGTTGTTTTTTAACATAAATTTTCTATGCAAGTAGAGACTAAAAAGCTAATTTCTGTTTGATGTTATGCAGGGATCTATCATCCAACCTTCTGTCGTCTTTTCCTGTGACTGGGTTACATGGTTTAACTCACTTAAAATTAACAGGAAATCATGCCTTGCAGAATCTGATATCATCTGAAAACTTTCCAGAACTCAAGTGAGTTTGTCATTAAAACTAATAAGATGCATTTGTGTTCATGTGAAATAATAGATGTAAAAGAGCGGTTTTCAAAATTCATGAGGTCATGGAATCTTTCAGAAAAGTATTTTGTATCCTGAGTAGGGTGTTGGGACAGGAAAGCGAGATGACAGAGCATCTTCCTACAGGTCTTATAGAATCCAAAGAGTTCCATGGAATTCATTTTGAAAACCATCATTTAAAGCTAGAACATATAATTAAAGAAGAGTCACTTCACAAATTTGGGGGCAAACAATTACAATTTTTTAATTCAGTGAGATTTTCTTTTGCAAAGGGGTTTGGGTGGCAAATAATACCCATGATTTCATCAATGTGAGGAGATTCTCTCCCCTGATTCTGAGTAGTGGCTTATCTCTAATTGATAGTTGTAGAGATTTTCCTGAAACAATGAGAGATTAAATGACTTGCCTATGAACACACAGCCTATATGTGCCAGAGGCAGAGCTTTGACCATGGAGCATTCTGACTCCAAGGCCTTTCTACCCATATGATATTCCTTCTACCCATTGTACCGGGCTTGCCTATCTGTGTTAAGACTTTTTAAAACTATATAATCAATTTAGCCCTGAATGAAAAAAGGATGTTCTTCAAAATGTTGCACACTAAATGATAATAAAGAACGCTCCTGAGAGTGCTTTATTTTATTTTATTTTATTTTATTTTGGTGGGGGTGGGAGGCAGGGTTAAGTTGCACAAGGTCACACAGCTAGTAAATGCCGAGTTCGATTTTGAACTCAGGTCCTGACTTCAGGGCTGGTACTCTAGCTGCTCCCTGAGAGTGCTTTAGGGGGGAAAAAGACTCATTACAATTATTCCTTCCACATCATGCCCCAGAGATCTGGAAAATCCCCGTAAAATATTTTGGTCCTCCTTTGTACCAGACAAGTCTGAATTTTTTCATCTTTTTCTTTATGGGGTGTTTACAATGCCTTACTATAAAATTTGAGTTGATATTATACAATACTATGCACATATTTTATGCATTTTTCTGTGTCGTGTGCTGGCCTTCGTGTGTCATCTGCAGCTTCCACAGAACTCCCCCAAAATTCCCATTTAATTTCTTATGCCGACCAGAGATACATCGAAACCACGATGGGGAAAGTCACAATGTGGAAGGGATAATTATATGTTTCCTTAGATGTGAAGGTTTTTTTTTTTTTTTTTGACGGCTTTCGTTTTTCACTCTGCAGGCTGATGGAAATGCCTTATGCTTACCAGTGCTGTGCATTTGGGGCTTGTGAAAACCTCCACAAAATTTCTAATCAGTGGAATAAAGGTGATAACAGTAGTCTTGATGAATATCACAAGAAAGATGTCGGAATGCTGCATTTCCAAGGTAAGAGCAGCTCCCTTCCCACTCACAGAATGCCAGGGATAAAAGGAATTTTGAAAATTTGCCTAGTCCACCTCCTTATCATCCCCCAGGTCCATACCTAAACTGTATCATTTTTTTTTAAATGCCTTGGGAACCTGGTCTAATATTTACTCCTTGCTACAGGGGAATTCTTCACATTTAGCTTAAATCCCTCTAGCTAAAAAGTAGCTTTGTCTTCAGTGCAGATTACAAAGAAACCTCTCATAAAAGATTTCCACAGACATTAAAAAGACCCTATCCAGGTGGATTCTGTTTACTTTACCTTTCTTGAACATGCTTTCATCATTTGTTTGGACCGTCTGTCTCCTACAGACAGGGCTGGCTGGGAAAATTTTCTGATGTCTCAGTAGTACCACAGAAATTTACCATCTCTGTTTCTAAATCAGCTGATTAAAAAAACAACCTACCTCCACTCTCCTCTCCAAACACGAACAGCAGGAAATGAGATAATGTCTGTAATGAAGGACTTGGTGTTCCTTGATGAAAGACATTAATTAAATTGAAGGCAGCGTACCTCACACCATACCTGTGGTAACGGAGAGAAGCTGAAGGCACCAACTACTTTCCCTTTCAACTATAGCCTTGCAAGTTAGTACAAACTCAAAAATGACTGGTTTTTACATTTCAAGGCCCTCAATATTACTTCTGATTCACAAACACTCTGTAGAATTCAGTCTGTCTATAGGTGATTGATGTGTTTGCTCCTACAATCACGACACCACTTTAATCCTTGGCCTTTTCATCCTAAAATATGGAGAGACTCATCTAATTTTTAATGACTCCAACTCAGAAAGTTACAAGGCTCATTTCTGTTCTACTAATAGTACTGTGCCACTGAATTTCCAATTTTGTGGGCTATCAACCCAAGCACCAAAAATTTAAATAGTTTGCAGGGTACATTTAACTCACCATAATCGTACTATCCCAAAGTACTGCTATATGCTACTCTGGGCACATCTGGAATTTTTTGATTGTTTTTAGGAACAAAATTTTGGTAAGGACATTGAAAAACTGGGGGAAATCCAGAGACAAGTGATTAGAATGGTCAGAGCCTTTGAGATCATGCCAGGCCAGAACCAGCTGAAGAAAATGGCTATGTTAAGCTTAGAAAAAATAAGATTTGTGGGAGAGAGATGATAACTATCTTCAAGGGTTATAACATAGAAGAGATTAGATGAGTTCTGCCTGGCATGATCCCAAAGGACAGAGCTAAGGACTATGGGTGGAAATTGTAATGAGGCAAATTAAGCATTTTTCATCATAAAGACAAAGATGTTTGAAAGACTCAAGCTCTTTCCTCCAAGATTAGCTCCAATTTACTCTGTATATGTCTCCCCCATTAGAATATGAGCTTCTTAAGGAGAAAAGGCTGTTTTTGCCTTTCTTTTGTACCTTCTAGTACATAGCATAGTGCCTAGCACTTGATAAATATTTGTTGACTGTTAGTTAAATTATCATTGTCGTTATCATTGTCATTAAATTGTCATTAAATTCAATGAGCATTTATTAAACAAGTGTCTCCTATGTTTAAAGCATTTTGCCAACTATTGGGAAATACAAAGGCAAAAATGAAAAGCAGTCTTTATCTTTAAGAAGCTTACATCCCGATGGAGGATATAAATATATAAGTAAACACAAGGTAATTGAGGAGGGAGAGGATAACAATGAGAAGAATCAAGTCATCAATAATAATAGCTGACATTTATTTAGTACCCACTATATGCCAGGCACTGTGCTAAGCACTTTGTAATTAATTATCTCATTTAATCCTCACAACAACCCTTCGAGGTAAATGCTATTATTATCCCCATTTTACAGTTGAGGAAACTGAGGCAAACGGGTTAAATGACTTGCACAGAGTCACACAGCTAGTAACTGTCTGAGACCAACTTTGAACTCGGGTCTTCCCAATTCCAGACCTGGCACTCTATCCACTGTACCAACTCGAGGTATCACATAGGATACCTTTGAGACAGATGAGGTTAGGTGACTTGTCCAAGGTCACACAGCTAGGAAGTGTCTAAGACTGGATTTGAACTTGGGTTTTCCTGACTCCAGGCTCAGTGCTGCCTAGCTGGTCACTCTATAGCAGAGAGAGAGAGAGAGAGAGAGAGAGAGAGAGAGA